GTTTATTCATATGCATTCGTGATCATTGAGGTCAAAGTCTTGGGTATATGACCAAAACCTTCCTTGCATGTTGTAAGACAACTATAAATGGAACAGAGCCACGGGGAAAGTATGCATATACCAGTGGTTTATCAGGTATGGCCTCTAAGTTAAAAAGTCTCTGATATATGAGTCCCGCCTATAACAAGTATTCAAATGATTAGCTAAACAATTCAAACCTCAAATAACAATCACTACAAGAAAATAACCTTTTCGAAGCGATTATTTTAACCTTTAGTATCGATTGTAATTGCAACAAAAAGCTTTCCCAACGAATGGTCATTCAATACAATATCCCCCGTTGCCTTAGCCTTTAGTAGTGGTTGCGTATATGATTGAGGAGGAAAACACACTTTGTTTCCACTAGTTGGATAAGGGTAACAATTTGGGGGATTTTATTACCCTTTCGAAACGGTATTTGTTACTTATAGCTCATACCAAACTAATAGAAACGGAAACACTTATTTGTTTACGTTTCCTATGTTACGAATTTTCATACCAAACACCCCCTTAGAAGGGATGTACAAGATAATGATGGCGTAAAGCTACCCAAGATGCATTCATTGTTATCAGACCAGTAGACCACATAGATGTTGGATGAATCAGCCTCACTGCACCCATAATTAGATTGAAGTACAATAAATTTGATCAAATTTGCTTCTAGCAAGTGATTATTTACATTATAAAAATATAGTTTTTGAACTCCAAAAGTAGCGACAGCATAGGTATCTTAAAAATTCTCCCTCCATCCCGATTCCCAGTTTAATCTTCATGTTGGCTTTGTCACGATCTCATTGCACATCTTCATGCATTCATATATATGTAGCATTTAAAAACTTTGATAAATGATTGTTTTTAATATCTAATATGATGTATCAAAATAAATCCAACAAAACCCCACACAATAATGTTTATTCATATGCATTCGTGATCATTGAGGTCAAAGTCTTGGGTATATGACCAAAACATTCCTTGCATGTTGTAAGACAACTATAAATGGAACAGAGCCACGGGGAAAGTGTGCATATACCAGTGGTTTATTAGGTATGGCCTCTAAGTTAAAAAGTCTCTGATAGATGAGTCATGCCTATAACAAGTATTCAAATGATTAGCTAAACAATTCAAACCTCAAATAACAATCACTACAAGAAAATAACCTTTTCGTAGCGATTATTTTAACCTTTAGTATCGATTGTAATTGCAACAAAAAGCTTTCCCAACGAATGGTCATTCAATACAATATCCCCAGTTGCCTTAGCCTTTAGTAGTGGTTGCGTATGATCTTTACAAGATTCGAACATGCAACCTCAAACTTTTATATTAAATGTTTCACCAATAAGCTATGATATATTTTATGTATTCTTTTTCTAACAATATTTATATATCTAGTGTTGAAAAGGCTTTTCGTATCGATTTTTAGGATTTAATGGCGATTGTAAATGATACGATTTCTCAAAATTATATAAATGTGTAAAAATAGTGTGAATATGTATTATTATGTTTTCTATATCGATTTTATATGGGAAAACCATGGCGATTGTAAAAATGATACAACATCTTTAATTATTTCACAAACATACTTGCATATTGTAGCGAATGTACAATCGCTACGAAATAATCGCTACGAAAAGAGATTTTTCTTGTAGTGAATGTTCCACAAGACGAGGTGTAAAATGAGTCATATGTGAAATTGTGAATCAATGAATGTAACATGAATTAGAAAGGAAGAATTAAGGAGAAGGATAAACTATGAGCTGGGGAAAAAATCCTTGCAAGTAAAAGTTTAGCTAAATTTGAAACTATTGTAAGAATAAAATGAGCACAAAGGAGCAACACCTTTATCAAAATGCAATCAATTGAAAAATCAAATTTATTCGCTTAATTCAAGGGTACTAATAAACCTTTCAGAGCTAGCTACTCCATCAACAATACCTCACATTGTGAAGGAAAGTTATGGCATCTTAGCCAAATTCCTTCAAAACCATCAAATCAATTGTTATTGAGATATTATCGTATATTAGGAAGATTTGATAGAATATTTCCATATATTTATCTCCTATATTTTAGTTAATTTCCTAAAATCCTACGATATCTTTTGATACGAGGACTAGGACTTTGTAACTATATATATTCCCAATTATAATCAATGAGAAGGCAAGCAATTCTATTCCAATTAATTTCTAATTATCTCTAATTTATCATGATATCAAGAGCAGGTTAATTTTTTTTTTTTTTTGTTTTAATTTTTGTTAAGCCATGGTCGGTGATGATCAAACACCACCGGAGAAGCCTTCAAATCTGCAATTAAATTTCCCCAATTGGGTTTAGCCACAGGCGCATTGCTCACTAATCCGGAGTCTTATAGACGACTTGTAGGTCGTGTGATTTATCTTACTGTCACGCGCCCTGATTTGGCATATTTGGTTCATATTCTATCTCAGTTTATGCAGCAACCACGGTGTGAACACTGGGATGCCGCATTATGGGTGGCTCGATACTTGAAAGGGACTCCCGGACAAGGTATTTTATTGAGCTCTGATTGTGACTTAAATCTGCAGGGTTGGTGTGATTCAGATTGGGCTGCTTGTCCTCTAACTCGACGTTCTTTATCTGTTTGGCTAGTTTTCCTTGGAAATCTCCTATTTCATGGAAAACTAAGAAGCCACCAACTGTTTCTTTCTGTTCTTTTTGGAGGCCGAGTATGGTCTATGACTTCGTGTTCTAAAGAGCTAAAATGGGTGAAGGGCTTGTTGTTAAGTCTTGGAGTACAACATCCAAAGGCAATTAAGTTGTTTTGTGATAATGAAGCAGCTTTGCACATCGCAAAGAATCCGGTTTTTTATGAACGGACAAAGCACATTGAGATCGATTGTCACTTTGTTCGTGATGCTATTACTGAGGGATGGTTATCTACATCTCATGTTTCGACATCTTCACAACTTGCTGATATTTTTACAAAGGCTCTTGGGAAAACACAATTTGATTATCTTCTTTCCAAGTTAGGCATTTTTTTATCCCCATGCTCCAACTTGAGGGGGGTATTGAGATTATTGAGATATTATCGTATATTAGGAAGATTTGATAGAATATTTCCATATATTTATCTCTAATATTTTAGTTAATTTCCTAAGATCCTATGATATCTTTTGATACGAAGAGTAGGACTTTGTAACTATATATATTCCCAATTATAATCAATGAGAAGGAAAGCAATTCTATTCCAATTAATTTCTAATTCTCTCTAATTTATCAATTGTATTCTTAATTATCAGGGTGGATGGGTTAATAATGGACTTATGGTCTAATTTGAAGTAGTGCATTATTATTCACACACAAGTGTAAATTCAACCCCGAAAAGGCGAAAACTTAAAAGTTTCAAATGTCATCGGGTACTGATGCCATGCTACTAAGTTGTTCAAAGTCTAAAGAGTTGAATAGTTTACCACGACCCCTCCGATCAAATCTCATTTATATTACTAGTTGAGCCATCGCGCACCACGCGCGCGATAGCCCAATAAACACGGAATGAGTGTGATTAATGTTGTTATTTATTATACGGGCTATACTAATTTAATTTAGCTATTGCATGTAAAGGGTGTTATTATATTATTGTTTTTGTGTTTAGACTAAGTTTAGATTTAGATAGGTATGTAATGGGAGGTCGTAAAATTTGTAAATACTCGAATCTTATTATTGCTTAAGATAATGTGTAGAAAATCGCTTTCTAAAAATAGAAAAACGACTAACACACGTGTGTATAGATATTAAGCAAAAAAGGAAATCTATGAAAAGGGACTTTCTGTTTTTGCATTTTTTAATGTACATGTACAGTGCTAGAATATAGGATGTCATTAAGTTTTCCGTCTTTCAAGATTTTAGTCATGATTGCTTCACTTGCTTTTGATTGGTCAATGTGTGTACTTCTATTGCGTGGTGTATAAAGTATAGTCTGCTGCCTTTCTATCTTTCATTTTCAGTTGAAATCTCTTTTTTTTTTTCCTTTTTTGTTGTGTCTTAAAAGTTTATCTTGTTCTTTGCTTGACTTTTAATTTCCAAGCCATAACAATGGCAAGCACCGATAGCACTGCCACCTTTGGCAGAGTATTTTCGCCACCAATTCAAAGACCTAATGAAGCGAAGTCAAGAGAAGAAAACGTTGCAAGTTTTCGTTTGTACTCTTTGGAAATGGAGATGAAGATGAAGATGCATTTGGAAATTCTGCAACAAGGGCTTTCAAAGGTTGAAAGCAAAAAAGAAAAAGGTGAATCAAGCAAAAAAAGGAAACGGGAAGTAGTAAGGAATGACTGTGGAAAATGGCCTGTTATCGTGATTGAATCAGATAATGTTGATGCTGAAATTAATCCACTACAACATTTACCTTCTTGTGCCATGGGTATACTCGTGGCTAGCCTTCAAATTTCCCATGGCACAAGTAATTAGCCACGGGTATTTTGGTCGTGGTCTGCTGTGGCACAAAACCCTGAGGCTCTAGCCAGGGGTATATTAACTCCCATGGCATATCCATGAACTACTGCCATGCTTTTTCCCATCGCCAATTTACTACTTAGCCATGAGTTCTCCTGTGGCTAAAGTAACAATTAGCCACGAGTTATCTTGTGGCTAATAGCCTACTGAGCACAAGTAAATGATGGCTAATATATTACATTAGCCATAAGCAATCCTATGGCCAACAAAAAAATAAATAATAAAAGACTACATTATTAGCTACAGGTATATTTATGTCTATCAAGTGACATTGCCACAACATTTCATACCTCAAACCATTTACATAGCCATAACACGTCTTGTGGCTAAATAAAATACCTTGACACAACCTTAGCCATGGAAATTAGTAGCCAAAAAAATCTGTAATGTCCAACTAGTTTAACAGACACATTTTGTATGAGATTTGTGGTAGAGATATAATACTTATATTATATTATATTATATTATATTTATAAGATATAAAATTTAACATATAAAAATAACATTAACTTATACTTGTAAATATTGATACCAAATAATTAAAATCCCAAAAAATTACATCATACCATCACTAGTTTATAAAGTCATGCTTTACAAAAGATATCATTTGTCAATAATGTCTCAAAAAATATTGTTAATTCAACGGCCTTTTATATCCCCTACATCATCTAATCTGGTGAAGCAGTAAGTTCCTAAGTTCTTGACATAGTCATCCCTACAAAAATAAAAAAAAAAAAGAAAAAGAAAAAAGGGGTTAAAAATGTAAAATACTTCAATTATTGGTGTTCCATATAAACCTTAAAAGTAAAAGATATGTAATTAAGCATTGGTAAAAAAACTTACTAGTGATCAAATTAAGTTGTCTTAATGATATCATGGTTTGTTGATGGTGCTCCAAGCTTCTCACACAACTTCTTGAACCTTTCCTCCCACATTTGATCACGTTCAGCTAATTTTTCCTCTATTTTTTCTTCCATGGCCTTTTTAACTTCTTCAACTCTTTCGTCAGCTTTTTTCTCAATTTTTATAACCTGATTAGCAAGATTGATACGACTTGGTTTCTCTTTAAAATGATCTGTAATGCTTTTATTTCTTCCATAAGCACGCAGATATCCATGTTTTTCTTCACCAAGTATTTCCTTAAAAATTTGTTCATCAGACATATTATTATGACCATCTTCTCTCTCTTGTATGGAGTTTTTCAACTTTGACTGCATTTAAGTGGACAATCAAGTGGATTAAAAAATCATTAACATTATCATAAAATCCATTTTAAAAGATAAGAGTTCACAATTTATAACCCATACCACAATCTCCTGGTTTTCAGCAAACTTCACAGGATCAACAGGTTTACTCAAAATTTCAGCGCGAGTAGGTTCTCGATTAAGTTTCTTTCTCCGCAATAAAGATAATTTGTTATTTTGTAACTTCTAAAGTATGATCAGACAAAAATCAAACATGTAGTTGTATAATACGTACTAATTCATCAGCAATTCGAGCAAAGCTTTTTGTTCCTGAGTAGTGAGGAATCTTCAATCTAGATCTATTCTTTCTATTCCTTTGACTTAGCTTCTATAACAAGAAATGTACTTTGTATTTAATTGTCATATAATAATACAAGATTAGAACTGAAATGTATATTAATGACACTAACGAGTTACCTTGAAATCTGGTGAGTGCCAAAGTTTACACAAGTATAACCAATCTCTTCTTGCAACATTTTTTGGCTTATTTTTTTCCCTCTGTACTTGGTTAATCAATTTAGGATCGTCGTAGTATATAGCTTTTAACTTCCTTCTGTAGTCACGATATAGTGCATTCATATGCCTGAGAATGAACTCTTTGCGCATTTCTGGTTGATCCATTGTGAACTTCTCCTAGGTATTAGGTGATGAAAAAATGAGTTAGAATCATCTTTAATATATACATACATATATACCTTTAAATAATAAGGTTGAAAATAATTTATACCAGCACAACATTCCATGCAAAATCAATATAATTTATACCAGCACAACATCATAGCTATGTCGCGCTTGTGTTCTAATAGCAACAAGCCAATTTGGATCAAAACCATCTCGAACATAAAATACTTGTTGCGCTTGACATGCAAGAACAAAGGGCTCATGAGTTTGCAATTTTCTCTTTGTATTTACACTCACAATGTTATGCTTATCAACTTTAATTCCTTTTCCAAAATTACTAACATCCCACCAGTGAGAATTAAATAAGACCACCCGTTTACCATCCAAATATTGCAAAGAAATGATTTCAGTTAAAACACCATAATAGTCTAAATTTCTTGCATCCGAAGCTCCTTCGACTAATATTCCACTATTTTGATTTGTCCGCCTTTCTTCAAGTGCCTTTATATGAAATCGAAAACCATTAGCGAGATATCCATTGTAACGCTCCACACCCATCAAAGGACCAAAAGATAATGATCGCAAGTCTTTTAGCACCTGAGTATGTTTGTCCGGCAAACTGTTCACCTATAAATAGGATATCAACAAAAAAAATCTTACAATGAAAAATTCATAAATAATCTATTGAATATATAATATAAAAGGAATAGACGTTGAATAAAAAAACATACACGCTCACGAAACCATTCTGAAAACTCGTTCTCATTCTGCCCTTGTTCATATTCTCTACATAAAATGTATGATTTTTGTCGTTAGCTATTGCATTAAAACGTAAGAGAAAAAAAAATATTACCTTAGGAAAGGTTGGACCTCATCACAATTTTTCAAAACATAATCTCGAGCCTTTTCCCACTCTTCTTGTGTAAGACACTTTGAATTTTCTTTTCCAAGTGGAACGCCAGACGGTGCAAATATTGAAAGACCCTCATAATCATCACTAACACTATCAGAATTTCGTTCTTGTTGATTAGATTTAGTCTCAACATTATGCAAATACTTTGAGCAAAAAAATAAACATTCTTCGAGAATATATCCTTCTGCAATACTACCCTCTGGCCGAGCTTTATTACGAACATAATCTTTCAACTTCCCTAGAAATCTGCATAAAATTATATGCATATAAAATAAAGTGAGGCAAAGTCATAAAATGTGCTAATTATCAAAATCAAAACAAAAGAAATGTTTCATACCTTTCAATAGGATACATCCATCTACTCTGAACAGGCCCTCCAATTTTTGCTTCACCAACAATATGTACACACAAGTGAACCATAGCATCAAAGAATGATGGAAGAAAAACCTTTTCCAATTTGCACAAAGTCACAATTATGTGATTCTCCAGACGATCAAGATCCTCTACGCTAAGTGATTTCGAACACAACTCCTTGAAAAAAAATACCAAGTTCAACTACTAAATCATACACTTGCTGGCAAGATATCCCTCTAATGGCAAGTGGCAATAATTGTTGTAGAAGAACATGACAATCATGAGTCTTAAGACCAGACACCTTACGCTTCTTAATACATTTGGAAAAAATTGAGGAATAACCATCTGGAACTTTAACTTCCTCCAAAAATTTACACACTTTATCTTTTTCACCAGGAGATAATGTGTACATAGCAGGGGGTATATGCCATTTCCCATTAATCAACTTTGGATGCAACTTTTTTCTTATTCGGAGTTCTTTTAAATCATGTCTAGCCTTGATGTGGTCTTTACTCTTGCCTCGAATGTCTAATAATGTGCCAAGAATGTTATCAAAAACATTTTTTTCAATGTGCATTACATCGAGATTATGACGCAATAAAAGTCGACTCCAATATGGGAGTTCAAAGAAAATACTAATCTTTCTCCAATTATCAGCTCTCTTTGGATGTTTTACATCTTTGCCAAATTTTAAATCTTCAAGTCCACTCATTTGGGCTAACATCTCATCTCCGGGCAGAGGCTTAGGAGCTGGTCGTCTCTCTACTTTTCCATCAAATGTCTTGCTATCCCTCCATTTATGATTAAGAGGCAAAAAACATCGATAATCCATGTAGCATATTTTCCTACAATTAGGCAATCTAAAGGAAGAAGTACCCTTACCACAAGTAGGACAAGCCATATAACCTTTAGTAGACCAACCAGACAAATTCGCATACGCTGGAAAATCATTTATAGTCCATAAAAGAGCAGAACGCATAACAAAATATTCTTTTTTAGATGCATCATAAGTTTCAATCCCACATTCCCATAAATCTTTCAACTCATCAATTAAGGGGCGAAGATACACATCAATATTATTCCCAGGAGCTTTTGGCCCAGGAATTAACAAAGATAGCATCAGATAAGGTTGTTTAGTAAACATCCATGGAGGAAAGTTATAAACAGATAACACAACAGGCCATGTAATATAGTCACTTCTTTGTTGGCCAAAAGGGTTAAAGCCATCAGATGCTAAACCCAACCTAATGTCACGTGGGTCAGAGTTGAAAGTAGGATCAATTTTATTAAGGGTCTTCCAAGCTTCTGAATCTGCAGGATGTCGCAAAATTTCATCTTTTACTCTACCCTCAGAATGCCACCTCAAATCAGTTGCATTATCAGAAGACATGAATAATCTTTGAAGCCTAGGCTTAAGTGGAAAGTAACGTAGTACCTTGCGAGGAATTTTTTTATGATTTTTGGTGACATTTTTTATTACTTTCCACCTAGACAAACCACATACTTTACAAGTCTCAAGACTCTCATTCTCCTTCCAATATAACATGCAATCATTCTCACAAGCATCAATTTTTTCATAACTAAGGCCCAAATCTTGAATAATTTTCTTTGAATCATGGTATGTTGTTGGCAAATTGTTACCTTCAGGCAAAGCCTTTTTTACTAATTGCAGTATATTAGTGAAAGCCTTATTAGAGAGACCATTAACACATTTGATTTGAAACAAATTAACCACAAATGACAACTTTGAGAAACCATTGCATCCAGGATACAACTGTTGTTCAGCATCTTTTATTAATTTTTCAAATTGTTCATGTGTCAGACTAGGCTTCTTAGGCTCTTTGTGACTATTACTAGATATGTTGATGTCATCACTCATATCATCTTTATCAAAGGGATTATCATCAGGATGTCCTAATGCATCATGAATCATCTGGAACATGTCACCATTAAAATGCTATGTACTATCATTTTTAGCCTTTTTTGGTACTGGAGTATACTCCCCATGATATATCCAACGTACATATTATTTTACCATTCCATAGCCCAACAAATCAGCTCTCATTTCGTCTTTGTTCTTGTATTCAGAAAAATGACATTTTTTACAAGGGCAAGACAATTCATCCTCATCGTCAAAATCACAAAAGGCAAAATCAAGAAACTCTTCTATTCCCATTCTATATAAAGGACTAAGTGTGTCAGGTAACAACATCCACTCCAACCTTTTCTTCACAATTTCAGAACAATCCATCTTGAAAATAAATAAATAAATAAATTTCATTACAAATTTAATAGGAAAGATAATTGAAAACAATATAGAACAATAGGCCATGTTAATCACGTAGGCCACATCATTAACATTATAACATTTTTAACATGTAGTGTGGCAAATGATCAATCAAATTCCTAATATATAACAATGGTTAATGATCAATTAAAAGGAAAAACATGTTATAATATGTCAAACATAATCAAAATTAATTCTAAAAGATGGTGATCCATAGACATCTTATATAATACAAAGATATGAAAGGTTGACTATACCTTATCCAAATGCACCGCAAAGTAGATATTATAAATTTGGTTGGAATGACACAAAGATAAACTACAACAAAACAGATAGAATTAGTTAAAAAAGCAATCATCTCATAAACTATATGTAGCCAAAACTTTGCATCTTTAGTGATTAAAAAAATAAATTATATATGTAGCCAAAATAAGAATTAGATATTATATTATCTTAGACATGTAACTAAACTAATCCACCGTAACCCACTATAAAAAATAATGTGCATAAAGTAAATCATTCACAACTTACTAAAGTTAGGCAATCTATAAACATACAAAGAAAACTCTATGTCAGAACATGAGGATCAAGTAAATTCTTACATTACCACCATCTTAACAAACAACACTTCATTTCTAACTTGAACTTAGTTTCTTTGTAATTGCTATATCTTTGTATTTTATAACAATTCCAATTACAATGAAGCAAATTTTATAATAAACAAAACCAAAATAAAGAGCATTTACTGATTATGTACTGCATGTTGCAATTTATTAGAATTAGATTTAATAGAGCATCTTTTAAAAAAACTATTTTTAAAAAAAAAAACTAGTATAATATATCCTCTAAAAATGTAGATCGGTGAATAAAATATTAACAATATCCCCTAACTAACAATGGGATTTGAGATAAACCCCTTGTATAATAATCCATGAAATTTTCTTAATTTTAAAGACCCCATATCAAACAAACCCCATCAAACTAAACAATATTAATGATTAACCATGTTCCCAATTCAATCTAAAATGAAATACCCAGAAATTCAAAAGTAAGGTTTTTTTGACATAGAAACTAAAGTTAGGAGGAAGATGAACAACTCACCAAAAGAAAGGAAGAAATGAATTTCTGAGCCGGCGTGTCCCAGTGGTCAGCGTACCAAATTAACCCAAAGCATCAATTTTTAAAGAATTTCCCAAAATTGAAGTAATGAACCATTAATTTTGTAAATTTTGTTTCTTAATTCAAGAAAAGGGAGAGGATTTTACAACCTAGGAGGAAATTGGAGTTAAATCCATGGCGGTAAGTGAGGAAGAGTGGGAAATTTCTAGAGTATGAGTATCCTAAAAAATATAATAAGAAAGTTAGGTTTTATATGTGAGAGAATATATGTCCTTAAAAAACATCACTTTATCAACAATGAGCTGTTAAGTGATGCGTTTTATCAACATTGAAAATTTTCCTCTAAAATTATGACTTGCTTATAGGAGGAAAAATTCCCGCTACATTTTTGGTGGGCTTGTTTAGCTAAAATGTAGCCACGGGATAAATTGACTGTGGCTAAAACTTTATAAAATTGTATTGTAAAGTTTGCCACTAATATTCTCATGGCTACAAAAAATACTTGTGCCACAAATATTTGATTTCCCGTGGCTAATTCCGTGGCACAAGAGTGCTTTTGTTGTAGTGATCCTAAGGAAGGAGTTGGTGCAGAAGAGGATGGGAAGGAAAGAGACTGATGAAGATGAAGAGACCGAGGAAGACGACAAAACTGATGAGAATCCACAAAGCAATGTGAAATCTGATTCAGAAAGTGAGAGTGAGAAAGAAGTTGTTGTCAATTCTGATGAATCATCCGAATCAAAAAGCTATAGCTATAATGATGATGATGATTCTGGTCCGGATTCTGATTTTTGGAACCAACAAGAAGGAAATCGAGAAACAAGTGAAGATTCATCCATGTTCCGTATGAAAATTTCCGACTAATTGCATTTTGTCTGTTCTTGAGGGTTTTTTTTGGGCTAAGATGTAAGTGGTAGGATGAACAAAGGGTTTGTAAGGGTTTTTTTTGTGCGCTAGGCTATGTCTGGTTTTCTAAGGGTTGTTGGTGTGTTTTTTGGGTTACTAAGCTAGATCTTGGTAATTAGTTAGTTGATGGCACTACTTTAACAAATGTAATTAGCAGTGGAGGGTAGTAGATTGTAATTAGTACAAAATAAGCTTATGCTTTATATATAATGAAGAAGAATTGAACTTGATTATATAATTTTTGTTTGATGTGGTTTTTTATGCATTAAATTATGTTTTTCTATAGTTATGCTTTATATAAGGTAATATTCGATGAGTTTACATATATGATTTAACGTAAAAATGGAATGGGTATGCAGGGATTTGTTGATCTTAAAATATATATGCAAGTTTATGTAAAAAGAAGTAATTTGATTGATGCATACTAAGCAGCTGAAAGTAAAAAAAAAAAGGAAATCAAATAGTAAGCCATAATAATATATCACATTAGTTTGGCATCATAAGTAGGAAATTACCGATTACAATAACAGGAACATGAAGCTAAGTTCCTCTTATATTCTAAATACATAGTGCTTGAGAAACTCTAATCAAGCACTTAGACAACAAAAGATTAGTCTAATAAGAAGTGTTATATAGGAACAGGTAGTCTAGGAGACCTGTTCCTACATAAAACCATAATGCTTGATTGGTTTTGTAGGTAAGCTTAACCAATCAGACAACAAAAGTTAGGCTCATTACATTGAGTGTCAAGGCTAGCATGTCAACAATTGGTGTTGTTAAGGAACAGGTATTTTTGTAAAACCTGTTCCTTTCCAAGACCACAACTTTCAAAATCCTTAAGCATAACCGATATTATGCTTATATGTGGTTTTATTTTAAGACAAGCAATCTGAAGATACCTGTCTTTTATAATTGCCACATTTTGCAAAAGATTTACTTATAATGCATATCCCTAATTAGTATGTACATAGCAAAAGTTTTAATAAGTGAAGCTGTTACACAACTGATCTGTCATAAGTCTCCCTTTTCTTCTTCAAAGGTCACCCGAGTCATCTTCTTGAAACACAAGTGCTCTTCGTTTTCTTTCCTTCTCCTGCTTAATAGCTTGATTTTTTTTCAGTAGAAACAATGTCTGTGTCAAAGGCAACACCCTTGCCCTTAACTGCTGATTGATAAGTTGGATCTTTTTCCTTCTCCTTTATGACATGTGCAGCCTTTATTGCTGACTGCACTTTAGGCTCAATAACGTCTTTTTCTGGTGTAGTGGTTCCAGAACCAACATCAACATTCAGTCTTTTCCTCTTTGGTCCAAAATCTCTTGTAGTTGATTAGGCTAGTTTCCTTGTTGCAACCATTGCCTCTGCCAATATGCAAGCATCTTCCTCTTTCATAAGCTTCAACTGTTTCTTTTTTGATGGTATTCCTCAGGTTCTGGCTATCCGTGGCTGCAGATGCATTACCTTTTTTATGTGTCTATTTTATATAGTATTTTACCCCGTCCCTTGGTCATAATTAGTAGTGTTTTTGGCACTTCAGAGCCACTTTTATTACTAATTGGTGTTTTCTAGTGTTTTTGTAGATTTGGTTGACTTTTACAGGGATTTACACTTTTGGAGTATTTTCCCAAGATATTTTGGAGCAATCACGAACATTGGAGAAGCACGACCAGATTTTATAGCCCAGGGCCGGTTAGAACCATCGAACCGGTGATTAAGGGCTCGGTGTAGGTGATACCGGGGCATTTGGACCGAGTATTAAAGACCGGAAGAGGAAACCCAGGTTGGCCCGAAGAATTGGAGCCCAATCGTAGTTCAAATAGTGGCCCAAGAGAGCCGCCCGGCCAAAGAGGCTGGCGCCCAGAGGCGCGCCCGGCCAGGCAGGGGAAGCTAAGGTCGGCGCCAGGTGACGCGCCCGGCCAGACGTGAGATTGGTACTGACGAGCAAAAAGGCGCGCCCGATCGGGCGGTGCCTCGCCTGATCGGGCGCGTGTAAATATTAGGAGATGATTAGCGTCGTTTTAGTTTGTTTTAGTTTAGGATTTGTACGGAGTATAAATACTCCTCCGTAATACGATTTTAGCAAGTGAAACCGGGCGCAAGAGCTAGGCTTTTATTTCGAGTATTTTCACCCGACCGGGCGCGAAACTCGTCGTATACGGACATATTTGTCCGCCTGACCGGGCGCAAGAAGAGGCGAAAATTATCTCATTAGATCGCCCGACCGAGCGAAGGGCGCCTGACCGGGCGCGAGAGCTGAAGGAGATTCGGGCTTAGATCGCCCGACCGGGTGACGCACCGCCCGACCGGGCGCGAGGACGACTAAATTAGAATGTCCAGATCGCCCGGCCAGGCGACGCAACGCCTGACTGGGCGCGAGAGGCGTCCGACTCTTCTTCTTCTTTCTTTTCTTCTTTCTTCCTCCATTTCTTCTTTCCTCCATTACTTTCTCTCTCTAAAACTCAAATTCTCTCTACCTTCTCTCTAAGATTTCTCCTTCATTTCTCACCCAAATCCAAAACTTTTTACATATTTTCGATCCCTTCTTCATCCTCTACATCTCTACACCAAAATCTTCAAGTTCCAATCAAATAATTTCTAGACCCATTTTCAAAAAAATATCAAAAATGGCGGCAAAGAGGGCAAGAACACTTCTAGGGGGAAGCTCAAGCTCAAGTCAGCAATATGACCCGGCGTTGCAACTACCGCATTGGCCGACGATCAAAATAGCAACCCTGGAACAGAAGGAAAAGCTTGAACAACTCTACGGGCGTGAGGTAATTCCTTCACGGTGGTTACACCGCCCTATTTTAGAAGCATTAGGTTTATATGATTATGTTAGGAGATTTTTGAACGATATTGGTATGAGGAAATTCTTTGATATGCATTATGCCACTTATCGTGAATTTACCTGTGAATTTCTTTCCTCTTTGCATGTTTATAGTCATAAAAATGGGCCAAAATTAATTTTTAGGTTAAATAATAGAAATATTACTTTAACTTTTGTTGATTTTTGTAAATTGTTTGATTTGGAACCTGAATTGCCTCACCAATGGCATGCTGAATACAAAATGGATGACATTTATACTGCCTTGGATAGTTTGCCGGCGCCTAACGCCCAACATTCTAGTGCTAAACCAATCCATCAATCTGTTCCTAAAGTATGGCAAAGATTTGCTGGTGTCAGCTTTTTAGGTAGGAACGAGCCCCATAACTGTCAGACCAATGAACTTGCTGTTATTGGTCATTATGTATTCGGATTCGGGAAGCTTAACATAGCTAGGTATATCATCTATCACTTAGCTAGGTATGCTACGGCTAGTAACACCGCTACTACCCCCATTCGTCTAGGTGGCCTCATCACTAGGATAGCTGTTAAGAAGGCCGATTTTGTAGAGGCTAGACCCCACCAGATGACTAACTGTGGACCTGACACCTACATGACCATTAGGTACCTAGAGGAGTTGGGTTGGGTACGATCGGATGGTGAGCAGACACCCCACTGGTGTATTAGGACTGGGAGCGAGCAGCCTTTGCCCATCTTTCCCCTACCTAGTCCTGACTTGACCGCCTTTCCCCCAAGGCAGCCATCTTACACATATGATGTTTTAGTTGCCAACGCTAGGGGGGAAGAACCACCACCACCAGTTCCACCACCCCAGCCTCAGCCTCAGCCCTAGGTGGCATTCTCTCCACCTCGCATGTCTCACTCCATCCCTCATGTTGACTCTGACCCAGTTTGGGACCTTCAGAGTATAGGTCAGGCCTTAGGACATATCGAGCATTCCCATACTGACCTTAGGAGGATGGTAGGCTCCATAGACCAGAGGTTAGGGTACTTAGAGAGGAACTAGGGTAGAGCTCTCTACCCTATGTACGATGATTATGCTCGTCAAGGCAACATTCCCGATGATGCTATTTACCCTGACTGGTTTCAGCCTCCACCCCAGGGATACGATACGGATCCCACTGCCCGTGGTATTTACACTGACTATTTCGCCTTCCATGGGTACGGCTAGGACATTCCTTTCAGGGGACCGGCGGGGGGGGGGGGGGAGTTTTCATGCTGATTATTTTGGTGGTAGCTCTTCTGGTGCAGGTGGTGCAGGTGGCAGTGGAGGTGCAGGTTTCGGCCACATGGATGAGGATGATCAGGACTAGCTATGCTGGGCTAGTTCCCGAGCCAATGAGGACATTGTCTTATTCTGGCTTGGGGAAGATTTTGGATTTAATATCTTTCTTTTTCTCTTTTCTTTTATTTTTGGTGTGTTTTCTTAGTTTAGATTTATTGTTTTCTAGGTTAGTTTTATTGCTTTCTTATATATGAAAAATACAAAAAAATTGAAAAATAAAAAAATCCAAATATACGTTCCAGTGAATTGTAAATTGTGCTTCCCTGTGCCCCTTACTTGAGAAATTTGTTTTGATTCTTGGTATATGATGATAAGCATTGTGGATTAGTTGATCATGATTTGATGTTTGATTGCCTTGAAACCTTAACATGCGTCAATTTTGCCAACTATTTGTGAATATAGTGCTTGACTAGTTGATTTGGTTAGGAATGTATGATAGTTCCATAGTTCCTGGTATGTCAATGAATTTGAGTATTGGTTTGCAATTATAAGTAATGTCTATATGATTCATTATTATGCACATTGTGGAGGACGAAGGCGTTCATTCTTTTAGGTAGCCTCCAGATGATTGTAGATACATTTGTTCCCTTCTTGCTACCCATGTTGTTGCTTTGACTTTTTGTTGTTTTATTAGCCACATTACAAGCCTATTTTTCCCCGTTGGTTACTAGTCCCAAGCTTGGCTTGGGGGAGCTATTAGTGAGTGAGGTGAGGGAGTTTGTAGTGTGCTTATTATTTGCACAATTTGGGTGGGTTTTTGAGAAGTAGTTTTGTTTTTGATCATGTTTATTTTTGATGAGTTTGAGTGTTATATTTTCTTGGAAAAATAAAGCATGATGTTATGAAAAAAAATAGAAGTTCAAGAAAAAAAAATGTGAAAAAAAATAAGTGAACTTCAATAGAAAAAAAAAAGCAAAAAAGAAAAAATGTTAAATGTTCAAATGTTCTAGTGGGAGGTTGATTCAAAGAGAAAAAAAATAAAGCTTCAATGAAATTGTCAAGTTTGGAAAATAAAGTTTGTTTATTCACTCCACTTCTTCATTATTATATTTTATGAGTGAAATTGTAAGAGTTAGGGTTGTTTGTATTGTTTGGAGTATATTTGGTGATTGATGTTAGAGTTGGTTATGTAGGAGATGTTGATCATTATTTATTTTGATCAAGGGTTTTACTAGGATTTGCTCCCTTAAGCATAGCTTTTCTCTCACTTGTTCCCAAATATTTCCTACCCTTTACCCTAGCCTTACATTACAAGCTTTAAAGACCTTCCGACCTTTGTGCATAGAATTGTATGAATGTGAAAGTGTTGTTTATCAATGCAAGTTATGATTTGACATATTTTGAGTCCACTAGTAGGATTGAGCGTTCATTGTTTTTTACACACGAGAGTGTGAGTTGGGAGGGCATTGTTCACATAAAGGGGTTGGATGGAGAGTGATCGAGTACATCTTTTACTCGCCACAAAAATGAGAGTAGAGTGCGTGAGCAATAGTCTTGAATTCTATATGCTCTTGTGGTTTGCTCTGTTTGACAATTGTTAGGGAAGATTGGTAATTAGATGGATTTGATTGGTTGATTTTGAAGCATGTTTATTTGATTTACCCTAGATTGTTTGTGCTTGATTTTTACTTTTTGGGGTGAAGCATATTTATTGATTCATAGATGAGATCTTCGCTTAGGGACAAGCAAAGGTTTGGCTTGGGGGAGTTTGATGTGTTTATTTTATATAGTATTTTACCCCCGTCCCTTGGTCATAATGAGTAGTGTTTTTGGCTCTTTAGAGCCACTTTTATTACTAATTGGTGTTTTCTAGTGTTTTCGTAGATTTGGTTGACTTTTGCAGGGATTTACACTTTTGGAGTATTTTCCCAAGATATTTTGGAGCAATCACGAACATTGGAGAAGCACGACCAGATTTTATAGCCCAGGGCCGGTTAGAACCATCGAACCGGTGATTAAGGGCTCGGTGTAGGTGATACCGAGGCATTTGGATCGAGTATTAAAGACCAGAAGAGGAAACCCAGGTTGGCTCGAAGAATTGGAGCCCAATCGTAGTTCAAATAGTGGCCCAAGAGAGCCGCCCGGCTAAAGAGGCTAGCGCTCGGAGGCGCGCCCGGCCAGGCGGGGGAAGCTTAGGTCAGCGCCCGGTGACGCGCCCGGCCGGGCGCGAGATTGGTACGGACGAGCAAAAAGGCGCGCCCGATCAGGCGGTGCCTCGCCCGATCGGGCGCGTGTAAATATTAGGGGACGATTAGCGTCGCTTTAGTTTGTTTTAGTTTAGGATTTGTACGGAGTATAAATACTCCTCCGTAATACGATTTTAGGAGATCTATCTCTCTCTCTCTTTACTCTTTCTTTACTCTCTTAATTGTTTTCTTAGATTCTCTCTCTCTTAAACCTTTGTTCTTAATTACTTTCATTAATCCAGATTTCTTTTGGTAACAATTTCTTCTCTTTTTTTTCAGCTATTTCATTTACTTCTTTGATTATGTTTTGTTTTATTTATTTGATTAGTTTAGTTATGATTATGTCTGAGTAGTTTAATTCTAGGGTTTATGGGGATCCATAATTAATATGAAGGGATAATTTGTTATTATTGATTATTGGTATTGCATGATAATTTCTTATTGAATTGTTTTAATTCTTTGCAATTAGATTATGAATCGAGCAGATGTAATTTGATTGTGAATGTTTAGCAATATTGAATTGATGAATCGAGCAGATGTTAATTTAATATTAAAGGCTATTTTTAATAGGAACTTAGATCTAGTAAATTGCGAGAGCCTGTTAGATCTATGTTGATTAATAAATTGCGAGGGCCTGTTAATCATGTTATTTGTGCAATGTTAATTATTAATTATTATGTTTTATCCCGGAATATTAATTATTGGTGAACTTGTGACCCTAGGCCTTCTTATTATTGTTTTTCTCCCTAAACTTATTCTTCGTAGTATAATTCCTTTAACAACAATAAATTGGTTACTTTAATAATTTAGATTATAATTGATTAATTAGGAATAGAAAGACCAGTTTCCCTGTGGATTTGACCCTACTTTCCTATCTACTTTAGTTAGAGGACTTAGGTAATACTTTTGATTAGGTGATACGACTTTACCCTGTCACTTTTTCAGGTTTATCATGTTCAGTGTCAGCTATTTTTGGTGCATCTTTGACACCATCCCTTGCAGAAACATTTGCAGAACTGCTTCCTGCACCATCAGCTGTGACAGTGTCTTCCATCTCCACACCTTTTATACCCCATTGTAGAACGTTATTCTGTTCCAAAGAAGTTGTAGGGCCAATCTTGAGTAAGAAGTATGTACTGTGCAACTTAGAAGGTACCTGGCCAAACTTAGTAGTATCATCTTGAAATATAGATAGATCTTAGATTAATTTTACAGTAAGTATTTTGGTAAATTAAAGAAGAATGGTATCTGTTATTATCAAATGTAAACTTTGGACTATTTTCCATTTCTTTCATGTGATAAATATCCTCGGCTGAAATGCCAAGTAGTGGAACAGAATTTTCAGTAAATGCAGTAAGTTGCAGAGATCCTGTTCCATCTGAAGCAGTAAAAGTAATAGTGGCTCTGCATAAATTGAAAAATTAGTGTTTGTTTTCAATTGTTATAAGTAACATATTGTTTTTTCTATGTAATGTAATCCATAGACAGTTTTTACCGGTAAGTAGCAGACACTTCATTCCTCTCACAATTCAAGCATAGACTGTTCCAAGTGGTAGATGTGTTCGCTTTCCATAGTAGGAACATCCTATATATACTCTAAGCCGGTCGTACTTAATATCAGATGCTATAACTCTGAGACAATAAATCTCTCGTGGAAGCATTTTTGCTGCCTGCATTGCCAATATAAATGTCAGCATGATCTTGATTCTAGATATGTTAACCTAAAAATCATATAATCAAGAACTATTCTATTGATATTAATGAAAGTAAAAGAGAATTCTACAATAGCTACATATAGATACTATACCATATAAGTGTACCTTTTTGGCTTTGATGTAGGATATTGTTGTTAAAATTCTTTCTGTAGGTGGATTCTAAGCAACCGTAACTCTAAGCTAATGCTCAATAAGAACACTGCGATGCTTTCTTTGCCTGTCAATCACAAATACATTCAGGATTAATTTTAAAGAGCTTAAAACTAGAAGCAATTAATTTATGTTAAAAGTAACTGCTGATTAGCATACCATTCAGTTAAGGAAACAACCTTTTCACCTTCAAAAGATTCGATTATGACAGTAGACATAGATGATTCAAGCTGAAAGCCTGTGATTTTACAAAGATAAATACTGTTATAATGCAATCGATAATCAAGGGAATAGTGAGGATATGTATAGACTTATTAGATAGTTTTCTGATGTACCTTTGCGAGTGATAGGACGCAAAGGTGTGATGCCAATTACTTTGAAATTTTCACTGTTAGAGACAAGAGCCTTACACTGCCTTCCAGATAAATCATTCCAGGTACACACTTTGACTGGTGAATCAGTGCTGAAAGTAGATGCATAAGAAAGAATGTAATCACTATAGTTATGGTAATGATGTAATAACAGTAAGTCATTTAAGGTATGTATGCAAGTACCTGTGATTTGTCACCATCAAGTCGCGAACAGATGATTCTTTGTTCAGTGTTGTGACAATTTTTCGCGGTTCATTTGCAACATAGAGCACAATAACAAGTATATCTACCAAAGAAGAGAATGTGTGAGTAAATTGCATGTAATGGACTGAATATTTTTAATTAGAAATTACAGGCATTAGTCTAAGTATTTTTTACCATGTCGAACATCATCAGTAGAAACTCTTGGAATAGAAGCAAGAGATTGATACTTAGGAAAAACTTGTTCTCCTTCAGGATCCAAAGACTGGATGAGAGTCCTATTGCCTATTGTCATCTAAAGTGGCAGATCTGATTCTCTAGCTCTATACTGTGCATCTAGTGGCCTTATCAAGGCATTAGCAATGTCGTAGTTTCCTATAAACAAGATAACATCTTTATATGCATCAATTTGATCACCAAATAATGTCATCTTCATGCGATTTTTCTAGAAAAAAAAAAGCACAAGAATATTCTATTACATGGTCATGTACTATGATCTGTTATAGGTTGAATGTATGTTTGTATATGGCATGTATAAAATATCAAAAACTTTTGTATGCCCCTGGTTTACAATAATTTTATTGTACATTGAATATTTTTGCGAAAAGTGACCCTTTTTCTTTACAAAAGTGACCCTTTTTGTTACAAAAGTGACCCTTTTTGTTACAAAAGTGACCTAAATTTTCACAAAAAGTGACCCGTTTTTTTTTTTTTTTACAAAAGTGACCCTTTTTTTCACAAAAGTGACCCTTCTTTTTCACAAAAGTAACCTTTTTTTTTACAAAACAAAATAGAGAAGTAACATAGGAATTTTCATCAATAACCACTATCATTTGCTTTAAATTCGAGAAGCAAAAAATCCCAGATTCACTAGAACAATCATCATAAATGTTTGTGGGAAACACCATAATGAAGACTTACACTGTAGCGAAAAGAAACGAAGATTAATTTGCCATACCAAATAGCCATTTTTGTGCCGCTTCGATAATGATTTGAGATGAAGCCAATCATCTATTTTTATGTCTGGAGGTTCTTAAATGTTGATAGAAACAATCGATTGAATTTCAATTATATAAATCAAAAACTCAATTCAAACAAAATTTTGAGAAAAAATCGTCATTTGAGAAATTGGTTTTACGGTCGAAATTTTTTTATCAACAAAAGATTAATTGTAGGTTGAAAATTTCAGAATAGAGGAAGTGATTTCTTAGGCATGGAAGATGAAGAGAAAATGAAAGAGTAAAGAATTAGAGAGAGGAAAGTAAGATTAGAGGGTGAAACTGAAAGAAGAAAGAAAGATCCAGAAAATGAAAAATAAGGAAGAAGGTGCAAACAATTAGATGATAACTTACTTTATTTGAACCGATTTACAATAATGCTATTGTACACTGGGTGTTTTTTTATATTTGTGATAAACTATACCTTATCATCCTATAAGATAATATACTGGTACAATATTTTCTAGACCTGATCAATGGGCGGGCCAGGCCGGGCCGAGGCATAAATAATCAGCCCATTTCTGGGGGCGGGCCGGGTCGGACCTAGCTTCGGGCCAAAATTTTCATGCCCAAAACCGCCCAAAATGGACGGGCCTTGTGGGCCGGACCAAAACAATGAACTAAAATAGCTTAAAAAATGCATTCCCAAGCCTGCAAAAAAAAAAAAAAAAATTCGGGTTGGGCCGGGCCCGACCCGATTTCGGGCCGAAAAATGCTGCCCAAAACCCGCCCAAAATCGGGTCGGGTCGGGTCAGGCCAGCGGGCCGGGCTTGTTTTGATCAGCTCTAATATTTTCTTCTCAGATTCTTGCTTTCTACCCTTTTCTACAATATTCACCTTAACCTTGTATGATTTGCTCGATGTATCGAGCTCATCAGGAAATTTTCGTTGTGGTGCCATAACAGATTTTCTATAAAACAGAATCAAAAAATTAAATAAGTTTTTATTTCATGTATAGATCATGATAGACTATCAGGTGATATACCATGAAAAACCTCTGCACATCTATGCACATATACATGTTTTCTTTTTAAAACATCCTATTAGCTGAACATTCTCTTATTTTAGCACTGATTTTACAGAAGTTACATCTTGTATAAACTTGTATAAAAGAAAGAGTATAAGCAAATGGACATAAAGCGCTAAGATCAAGTACAGTATGAATTCTGTGACATTGGAAGCAAGAAATGTGCTAACATATTTCAGTATACTTAAAAGCACAGAATTATAAGCCAAGCACATTATATATGAAACATGATTAGCAATTTATGCATACTTGTGTATCTTTTATCTAAAAAATACTCATTTGTCTACTTGTGTATAAATTTACAGAACTAACATGTAATTTCCACAGTAGCATTTTATCTTATAAATACTGAATAGTCTATAAACCCTAGCATACTAAATAATTATGAACTGTTCAATTTATATCCATTAATAATTAACAGCTAACTTTATCAATTCAGCATTTTATAAACCTAATCATGTGAACTAAATTATGCTAACATCACAGTAAGCACACTATGTCACATTAATAAATAATACTACAGACAAATAATGACTTTTGTTCCTACACACATAACAGTTAGAGTCTGTTACACAATAAATAATAGCATATATGGAATCTATAAATAGATGTTTATCTAATCATAATTTGCATAAAACTAATTTTAATTCTTAACAAAGATAATAAATTGAAGCAGAATAGAGGCTAATCATACCTGTCAACAACCAGAGGATTTAATGCTGATGCTGAAGGATATCAAGTCCTTTTTGTGTGTGCGTGGCTTATTTCTATCTTTTTTTTGTTGATTTTTCTTGTTGTAATGTACTGCTAAGATAGTTAATTTGATGTGGAACAACAAAGCCTAGTCCTTTTATAGTACATTTGATCTTTAAAAAAATTCAAAGAAAGAAGCAAGAATTCAAACTTACTGTTTTCTATAACAGTGTTTTGCTGTATTTTTTTTTGCATAAAATCAGAAAGCTTAACTCCTAAAATAGGTTATTCTATATTCTATAGATATGTAGCATGTACTTGAACAAAACTCAAATATAAATTTCCATATCTATTTGTGTATCTTTTACCATATATATAATTTTAGCTAAACTAAATCTCATGATTTCTGAGAATTTTATCATTATTATCATGTATATATTCCATCACTTACATACTGTTCCTGTCACAGGTATCCCAAGTAAAGAATTAGATCTCATTGCTTGTACATGTTCTATTTTTTTTATTTTTTTTACTTGTATGTATATTTTTTGGACCATACCTTTTTCTTGAAATTCTTCCACGTTACTTGACTTACTTGTACTTATTAGATTTGCTATCTATGTTCTTTTAACATTCCTCATTTTTTCTACCACCACATGTACTCTGATTAGATAAATTGCCTACTGTTTTTTAAAATACAATTAAACCCAAAAATTCTTTCCTTCTACTTATTGGATTTCCTATCTACATGTCCTTTTATTTTTCCTCTTTTGTCTGTTTTTACTTTTTTTTGTTTGTTTACTTGGGAGTACTTGTTGTATTCAAATAATTATTTGTTAAACCATATTTTTTTGTGACACGAGAATGATTGTTTGATGGCAATGCTACTGAATTTACTTTTATTGTCCAAAGAACACGAGTATTGTATGAAAAGTGCTATCAAATCCATATATGTGCATCTAATCATAGTTTAAAATAATCATAGTAGATTCTTTCTTCACCGTAGATACAAATCAGCAACTAATCAGAGCTACTATTGGTCTGGTAGCCATACATATAGATACTAATTAAATTGAAAGATAGAATAATTAGGTGTCTTGTAATGTTGTGATCAGCCAAATGTTCCTGGACCACTGTATAGCAATCACCAAAGGCATCACAAGAAATATTAGTATGCTATAGAGACTGACCTTAAAGAAGAATATTAGTTCCAAAAAAAGATCCTTGACTTACTAACATCATACCTTTGAAGAATATGCCATCTTTCAGAATGAATACCTTAAATTATAGAAAAAGGCTAACCTGTAGAAAAATACACAATGAAAGAAAATTAGGTTGAGTAGGCTTCTTATCTGAATACTTAATTTTTAAAGGGTCTACAAATTAGCAGTAGCCTATAATCTGTAAGAACAAAAAGGTATCACTTACTGATGTACTCAAATGATGCCAGCCATATGTAAAATATCATAAGAGACAACATTTTTGACATGACAAAAACTGGCCTGATCAACATTTATGTCAGTTACAACACTGACATTAGTTGCTTGTCGAGCTCGGGAAAGGGCAACATACAACTGACCATATGAGAAGCATGATCTTGGTAGGTAAACAACAATTTTATTAAGTGTTTGCCCTTGAGCTTTGATGATGGTCATCGCAAAGCTAAGCTTTAAAGGGAATTGTTTCCTTTGAAATTGAAAAGGATAACCTGAAGACTCTGATGGTCTTAGATTAATCCTTGGTATCAATACATGTTCTCCTTTATAATGCCCAATAGTAATAACACATTCAATGAGATTTGGGAATATTTTTTTACATATTAGGCGCGTTCCATTGCAAAGCCTAGATGATGGTAAGATGTTACATAGCAGGATAACTGGACTATTAGGTTTCAATATGAGTTCATGAGGGCTCATGCCACCAGGACAGAGCTTATTCAGAAATTCAGTAGGATAGATGTTATAATCATCATCGATCATTGAATCATAACTCTTGTACGCCACTGCTTCACCTGGAAATTTGTCTATCAAAATTGTATTTATAATATCCACATCATCATTGATTGGTGTGAGTATAGCTCTAGTTGTAAATATGTCTGCACTAAATGGAAGCATATCCATTTCTGGAAATGCAACCGAAGTCAAATGCATATCCTGAGGTGTAGCAACATCATAAGGCTGTACAATTTCTGCTGGCAGCTGCACAAATGAATCTTCTGTATCCTACAATTGTCCGTTCCCAAGTACTAGTAAAAAGGCTGCATATGTTGGGTCAAGTCTAGATCGAATGTTTTCTATTAATCTAAATTTAATTAACAGCGGTCACATAGAAGAACTGACCAAGCTAGCAGCAACTGCTTCACGTTGTGTTCTCTTTGGAACGACAGGAAGAACTTGTCTGAAATCTCCTCCAAAGACAACAATTTTACCTCCAAATAATAAATTTGGATTACAAATATCTCTAAGTAACACATCAAGTGACTCAATGTTTTCCTTTTTTGCCATCGAAGCTTCATCCCAAATGATGAGTGTTGTTTCTCTAAGCAATGCTGCTAGACTTCCTTGTTTAGGTATATTACAGGCAAGTGATTCAAGAGGATCTAGTGGAATCTTTATCCGTGAGTGTGCAGTTCTTCCAGAAGGAATATTAGCTGCAGTTATACCGGATGTTGCTGTTGGCAAGATAATTTTATTTATGAGCCTTATTTCTGCATATAAAGCATTATATAAAAAAGTCTTTCCTGTTCCACCAGGACCATCTATAAAAAATGCCCCATGTATTTGCTTTGTAACATGATACATTATGGCATTAAAAGCCTCTCGTTGACCCTGATTCAATAGGTTCTTGCATTGTAGACACTGATCTGGTATTGGAGCATTCAATGCATCCTATATATCCTTTGTTCTGCGTATTTCATCATCATCGGGCTGAACTAAATGGTCTAGTCCATATGCAGCAAGAGAGCTTCCCATTGATTCCAAAAATTATTCAACTGACTTAACAGTGAGATTCTTCACTTTCAATGGATCAGAAGTATACACGTGTCTAAAATCTTCAGACAAAAAAGTATAATATTTCATCCAAAGAGAGAGATGATTGCTGGGTTTGCAAAAGATAAGCACAGTAGCAAAGAGCTTACGAACTGCAAGTGGCATCTGAACTGCACAACCTTATCTCAAACATAAATCAATTGAATCATCTTCTTCTAATAGTCTTAATTTTAGTGCAGCTTGATGAAAGGTGTCACATAAATGTCCATCAACTGTTCGCAAATCTTCAAATGACTTAGGACTTCTTACATTGTGCAACAATAGTCTCAGATAGTATCTTTCTCCTTCTGAAGGTTTAACAAATGCCAATCTACCAATGACAATTTTCTTATTTCATTGTTCATACCAATGCTTGTCAGATGCATCCCAACGATAGTGCTCTGAAAAATCAGTGTACAACCAACCTATTCCAGATGGTAATGTACAATTCATACGAAAGAACTCTGTAAGACAAGTCCTAGAACGCTTGTCATCTGAAACCACTGATGTAAGCCGTTCATGAGGTCTAAGCTGTATAATCTATGAATTGGGAAAATGCACAGGAAGAGGCAAAATTGGTGGGTGCATTTCGTATAAGTCAAAGCCAAAGAGGCGCCAAGCAGCTTCACAAGGAGAAACCCATCGACCTGATTAATACTGCTGTATTTCATCTTGGACATGCATAACATTTGTAGATTGAACAACACCGAAAGATATCTTGTCATGACCTTTATACACATATTTGTACAAACATTTGACGGCTTCTATAGTAGAGCACACTTCAACATTTAAGTGACAATCAAAGTATGATGAAAGGTATGGATTATATGGGATCACCCATTTATTATCCATGATTGCTTTGTGGATTGTAATAGTCTCTCCCGTGTCTCTTATTCTATGTAATGGATATCCATCACAGCTATTTCTTGTTTCATCAAAAGCTGCTTTGGATAACCATACTTACAACGACCACGACTTTCTTTGTGCTTCATGCAAAGGCATTCTGGATCCAAATGACCACATGGACCATGCATCATGTGTTTTAGAACAAGTTTCCTAAGGTGCATGTTATCAGTAGATGGTATTTCAGCACAAACAAACTTATCAAAATTAGCAGGGCATTTGATTTTATAGTCTTGCTTTAGAATGATTAGAAAATGGGCATGAGCTAAACCTCTTTTTTGAAATTCAATCACATAGATCATTGTTGCTACCTCCTCGAACACCTTTTTCTTTTTAATCAAATGCTTTAAAGCAAGAACCTTTTCCCTAAAAATTCTTGCAACTATGTCTGGCCTGTCTTATGCTTTTTCTCCAACATCTAGCTCTTGTTTAATTTTAGGCCAATTAGCATTACAAGTCATTGTAACGAATAAATCAGGCTTACCAAATCACTGCACCAAATACATTGCATTTAAGTATCTCTTTTTAAGATCTCGAGGACCACCAATTAATGATGGAGGCAAGACGACTCTACGACCCACATTTGCTGCACAGTTTTCACCACAATCAATAGTGTCAAGGATCCCTTGATACATATCTGCTCTTATCGTTTGTTGATTTCTACGGAAGAAATCTAACCGCGTATTCTCCACTTTGACATACATATCGACTATGTAGTGCTGGAAGCATCTTCATGCTCTTAGCAACAAGTTATTTTGTCTGCATTAAAGTTTGTATACATAGTATTCTCTTGCTGAAATGTTTCTATCAGTTTTCGATGAGCCTCCATTTGCACCTACAAAAGCAAAGTTTGTTAAATTTGTTTTCTAACTTTACAAACCAGCAATAATAGGCTACATTACACTAACTAAAATCTCATGTGTAAATATAATAAATCATGTAATCCTTCCCTTTTTGAAAGTGTGATTTTTTTTTCTTTTGGTTTTTACAATATACTTTTTATGTGTATATCTTTTTTGCATAATAAAAAGCACAGAATATACGTACGTCTTGCTTCTTCTTCTAATAGGTCTTCTTCAGTATGAATACTGCATGAAGAAACATGATCGGGTTGTGATTGTAGTTGCTGCCTTCCACCCTAAGACATCTTTTTTAAACCTTGAGTCCACCCACAATCACCATATGGAAAAAGCAGCAGATATTGTAAGGGATCATAGCAGCCGTAACAGTGCATGATTCCATGACACGTTTTTTCCTAGATGAATCGCTGTCAGGTGAATCATCCTCAGATAAATCATCTTCCAATGAATCATGTTCAGACGGCTCTTTTTTTGCTGTGACCAGAATATGAGGACTTTCAGACTCAGTTGAAGACGTAATTTCTGGCCATATGACAACAACCTTATTAGTGGAAGGGGCATTGTAAACACGCTGATCTGGTATAGCTGTCTTATTTATTACAATCTATGTAGACTCAGTTATTTGGATCTCTCTCAGTGAGCGAAAGATTCTTGCATAAGGATTTACTTTAGTAACTTCCATGAGAATAGCTAACACATCTTCCCTTAGCTCTGGAAAATGCCTAGCCGTTTCTTAGCTTCAATCTCTCCATCATAAAAATAGAGCTGCATGTATTTAGGGCCTTCTTTTCCAGGAAGTAGATAAGGAATATATTGATATAGCTGGCCATGTAGTTTAAAAACATAGATCCCTTTTTTTGTCTTAGCATCAAATTTTCCACCTAATGATGTAAATGCAAACATATTGTTATATAAACGTATGTATTGCCTGAAATGTTTAGCGTCTTCATCCATAGAAGTCGACAGCCTGACAAGCTGTGCAGGTAATCATTTGTAGCAATCTTAACTTCACCATCACCACAGCAAAAATGAGTCGTTTCAAAGGCAAATTTGTGTGCCCTACACTTAGAACACTCTGTAGGAGAAGGAAGCTGGTAGGGTTCTACAGGTAGTTTCTTACCAATTGCTGCATCAGGAAGCCCTGCTTACCACAACATGTTTACAGAATATTCAGACATGTGTATCCTAAAACGAATAGGTAATAATGCTTGTATATCTTTATTAAGATGGTGAATACAGATATGAAGTGTCATAAGAATAAAGAAAGACTAAATTACTTGTAATAGGCTTCTTGGGTTTGAATATCTTTGCACGCTTTGCAGCAGGCACAGTCTGCATCCTACAAAAAAAGCGCATCATAAGATGCAACTGCTGCAGAAGCTACTCTTTGAAGTATAAAAAGGCTTTATTGCTTTAATTAACAGATTTATATCTAAAATAAAACACCTCCATATATGTATAACTTTGTTTGAACTTATTTTTATGTCCATGTATATCTTTCCATTCCATCTTGAGACGCAGATTCTAAACTTTTAAGGCGTTTGGTGTTGTACCCTTTTGAAGATGATGGTTCTCGTAACAAATGATCTACAAGATAGTATTTGAAATTCATAGCTTAGAAAATTAACTTCCAGTGTTATGCTTATTTAAAAAGGAAGAACGATATGTTACACGACATACTCATATCCAAACAGCCTATGATTCTCAGCAGCTATCTTACTGTACCTTTATAGGGAAACGCAATGTAATGCCCAACCTTTCATCGGTCTTGGTTACCAAATGTAACATGCAAAAAATAGGTAACCTACACCAATTTAAACATTCAATGATTCAAACAATATAGAAACAAACAATTCTAGATTCTGCATAATCTCATATACAAAAGAATAAGCTAAGCATATGTTATACAAGAAAATATAAAATTAACTCCATTACATAACTTCATCAAATATCATACAAAAGTTTAGTTGCTTAATTTTTTTTAAAAAAATAAGGCCTACACAATGGCACCTGACATAGTCTTATGATAAATCCAGTAACATAGTAGTAACCTAGCTACATTAATAATCAAAAAGAGCTAGGTAGTACATCATCAGCATTACTAATTTATAGGCACACACTAATGGTACTTAATTCTTCTTAACAAACTTCACATGCTTAAAACAATCCCTAAGATCCTCTGACATTGGAAACACTAAAGCCATCTTATAACCAGAATCAACAACAGGAGATGTTTCAGCATATATATGCCTTAGAAGGCGCTTCTTGGGAGGCAAAGCAGGTGGGATAGACACAGGAACCTGGAATTCTTGTCCAAGTGGAGTAAGACAGTCCTGCTTAATAAGAACAGTAGAAGGTTCCAGCTCCTTAATTCCTAACACACGTTCTTGACACTTAAATAGCTCTCCCTTTCTAGAGTACATAAGATGGCATCAAACCTAGCTGTTGTAACCTTATATTTAGCATCAACTATTACAAGGTTAAAGACGTCGCTAAGATAGTCCACGGCCTTTCTAGCCAAGCTTTGCTTTGCAGTAGCTACAATTCGGCAATAATCACTAAATAGACACCGAAAACCTATTCCCTCCTTATGAGGCATGACAGTAAACCAGGAAGTGTACTCATCAGGAGAATGCTCAATGGTTTCAATTGGGGTGCACCTTATCTCAACAGTCTTAAAGATAGCCCTTAAAATAAAAACAAGTCTACCAAAATCTTCATATGGTTGTCTTCAGCTCCTAAACAAAGGTCCTCATTCATACACACCTTACGTTCTTCCTTTTCAATGCGTTCTAGCTCCTCCTTTTTAAACCAAAACAACTGCCCACAATGATCATACATTTGTTTCCTTAAATAAGTCACATCCTCAACAACTATTTCATATTTTTTCATAAGATCATATACAGCCTTTCTAGCAGCAACTTCACAGGACTCTTCTATACTGCTAGTATAGCCACCAATGTAAACAGATGCAATGGGATCGCAGTCTTTCCGAACCACCACACAAGC